GCGCAGGTGAAGAACAAACAGTTGTTTGTTTTCTCAACTGCATACCTCTTGAAGTTTGCCCAGATGATTTTGTGTGGCCGTGCTAGCAACATTTTCTGTACGCCATGCCACATAGGATAATGTAACAACGATTTCGATTCGGCTTCAGTTGTTTTGATGATTTCCATAAGTGACCTACCTGACTCATGACGACCTCCACCCATCTGTCTCGTAGGAGCTCGTCAGAGAGACTTTGAGGCTGACATCAATACCATCGGGCCAGCACAGTGTTGCGCCCGTCTTGTATTTCCCTTGGAAAGATGTTGATGAGATTTAGTCGACTGTCTAACACATCAGCATGGGATGAGCCCTGGTCTGAAGGGTACACAACTGCAACTCATTTTTAGGCCAGAGCACTGAGAATTTCGCGGTTTTCAAACCAAGATTCTCGCTGCATTTTCATGGTGGCTCCATCCAGCCTTTTTTCCGCCTCACTCCTGGCCTCTGCTCAGATAGTAAAGGCGATATGACTGCGCCGTGGAAACAAAGATTGGTGGCATTCACCTATTTGCTTGTATCGGCCCAGTCCTCACTGCATTCAGTGCAGGCCATGACCTGACTTGTGCAGTACCTCCTGTGGTTCGGCGTTGCCAACCTTACAAGGGTGGGCCTCTCACAGATTGCAGCCTAATTCATTAACTGTCATGGCGGACATGTTACCCTGCCAGTTAACTGCCCACCACACGCATCTAGTGGCGGATTGGTGAGGCCCTGTGTGAGCATCATTCAAGTTCCATTAACATACTTGAGATGCTGGCAGTCTCGGAGAAACTGCGATGTTACTTCTATATTCGGTGTTGTGCCAGATGATCCTGGTTCGATGTGACTTTGACACAGTTGTAGTTTACATCGACGACCAGGTGGGCAGACAGCCTGCACACCTCGGAGAAACTGCGATGTTACTTCTATATTCGGTGTTGTGCCAGATGATCCTGGTTCGATGTGACTTTGACACAGTTGTAGTTTACATCGACGACCAGGTGGGCAGACAGCCTGCACACCTGTGTACACTCACTTGAGAAATACCCCATTGGGTTTTTCCTCATAGCTTGTTGCTTTCGACGGTCCTCCTCCCAAGCAAGGACAACTAACCACATGTCAATCTGACTTGTTTCATGAACTAGTCACAGATTTCCAGGCTAATGCCTGAGGGTTCCTGACCCCTACACATGGCACACGAATACGATGGTGATGAAGACGGACAGGCTGCTTATATACACCTTCCTGTCGTCTTCCTCTTATCCCTCGGGTACTTAATCAACTGGAGCAGAAGGACGACAAGGTCCTCTTCTTAACTCCATGTTGACCCCATTGATTGGTTTTCCAGGGCTATAACCATTCCCTTGATTCACCAGTTGGAGGTACAAATGTTCTTCCGAGCAGAACAATATTCTGTTTCAGCACAGCTTGGGTTTCCTTCACCCAGCTCCGCAGGAATTTCTCCTGATGTACTGGATGCTGTAATGCTCTCCTGTTCACATCAGACCTTTCTCAAACAAGCTATGGCTTTTACAGCCTGCACTTGAGGGACTTCTATCACGACAGTAGATTACTTAATGTTAGTCAGTTGAACGTCCATGTCAGTTAACTTAAGGGGATGTTTTAACACCCCTGAATTGCAGGACCTCTTCAACACCTTCTTATCCAAAAGTCTTATAGAGATCTTTAGAGTTCTGTGAAACAGTGAACAATTTCACATCTGTTTCATTGGTTCCTACGGTTGCCTTTTTTTTGTAAGCAGTTGTTACTTCTTTGTATACATGTAGTAAAGAACTGTTTTCTGCATAATAGACATCTGATGGGAACCGAGTGTGCCCATCCGATTCCTACGGGAGGATTTTTGTTTTTTAACTAAGACTGTCGGAGTCCTCTTTACCTCCGGACATCTTTGTTCTAGGCATCAAATCATTGTCCATTCCAGATGGAAAATGTTGGTGCCGCTCATGACTTTGGCGTCTGATCCCTAAGGAAGGTTTTTTGAGCTAAGACGGTCGGAGTCCTCTTTGCCTCCGGATGTCTTTGTTCTGGGCATCAAATGATTCTTGTCCGTTTCAGACAGCGAATTTTGGTGCTGATCATGACTTGATGTCTGCTCCCTAAGGAGGGATTTATACTAAGGACTGTCGGAGCCCTCTGTGCCTCCGGACGTCTTTGTTCCGGGCATCAAATCATTCTTGTCCAGATGGAGAATTTTTGGTGCCAATCATGACTTTAATGTCGTACATTAGCTGCACTGGGACGCTTTGAATCGGTCACTTGCAGTTACAAATGTATTTGTCATGACAACCCTGCCATACCAACAGGCTTCTCGCGACACGTATTTGTCATGACAACCCTGCCATACAAGCAGGCTTCTCGTGACATGTTTTTTGTCATGACGACCCTGCCATACAGGCAGGCCTTTCATGACATGTATTTATCATGGTGACCCCACCATACCTGCAGGCTTTCATGACAAGATTGCCTGAAGGTTGGCTACGGTCATCCATGAAACCACGGACGTATCAACGGCAGAATCCGTGTGATTGGTCCGCATGCGCAAAATAAAAGGCAGAGCATGGGAGAACAGTGTTGAGAGCGACTGACTGAGCCCCACCATGTTCTCAGGACATTTTCAGACCGGAGACCTCCCCAGCATTGGTGTCTCCTAACTCTGATTCTTTATTGAGCTCTGTACATGTACATGTGCATAATAGTGTCTATATTTACCATGTCATGATGTTTTGCCTTTCATGATAATTTTTATTTTGTGTGCCCCACCGAACTCTTACGGTGGGCTGTAATTCATTACGTGTGATTCCCAAAATCGGGGATCACATCTCTGTTGGCATGTTGAGGCTACCATTATGACTAATGTCTTTATCATGCCGACCTTTTTGGGCTGCCTTGTCCACCCACATGTGGAGCGACAGGCCCATCCAGGGTTTACGCGTATTGTTACGTGCCCCTGTGAAAGCACAATAGCATCTCGCATGACCCACCTCCTTGATGGTGCTAGTCTATGCATAAGTAGTATTGCTCTACAGGTAAGTAAAGTGAAGTAGACTCCCCCCCCCCCCCCCCCCCCCACAGAAGTGTGGTTGGGGTCTACGAACGAATACTTACCTGTAGAGCATCCCTCCCCCCTACCCCACTCTTCTCGATGCCTTGGGTACTTAGTTGTATTCCGACTTAGCGCTCGAGAAAAGAGGACGCTCACGAGGCACGCATGCCGCGGAGTATTATGGGTAGGGCGCCAGAGGGCGCTGTTGTATATAACTCTTAGCGGAAAATACCTGCCGGTAGGGGGAATATGCATAAGTAGTATTGCTCTACAGGTAAGTATTCGTTCGTAGACCCCAACCACACTTCTGTGGGGGAGGGAATTTGTGTGTTCGTTTTGTGATGAATTAAGGTCATTGGCATAACCTATAAGTAACCTATAAATTGTCAACAAATTAATGTATACTAAAAAAAAACTTAATGAAGACAAATTAACTGGTTAAAAATCCTGTAGTGAAAATTTAGCTGAATTCTAGGCTTTAGAGAAAAGAAACTAATCAGTGTGACAAGTGTATTACCTCTAAATATAATATATATGTGACCCCATATTGAAGCCTAAGGGTGGGGGGGGGGGTCGTGGACCATGAAATGAAAGTAATAACAACGCAAGGTCTGTTCCATCCAAAGAATCATTTTGTCTGGACTCCAGTATGCTTCTGGAGTAGGTCTAGTGCATTTCACTCTTGACAGTACAAGCAGATGTCTCAATCATATCAATGCTCATACCTCGATCAGGATCTTAATTTAGCTGTTTAAGTTACAACATGTACTGATGAAAAATGTGTGACGGACATATGCAAAGCTCAATTATATACAGAACTACATCTGTTTCTCATCAACCTCATAGACGTTTTTGTTTTGTTTGTGTTTTGAGATGCTTTGTTTCATATTTTCATGTACTAACAAATGTATTGTATCTGGCATCAGAACCCAACTTCCTGAATGTTCTTAACCAAATACAACAAATCATTTTCAGGCACTTAATCAACAATCTTTACTAAAGATTTTTTGCTTTACTGTCAAAATGGTCATGCATGCACTGACTAACCATTTTCCATCTGTGTATGATCAAACATGTTTTTTAGACATCCCTTTTTGCAAATAATCGTATCTCGTCTGTGGACTTATTGCAGCCTTTAGGCGGAAAATAGTCCACTCTATCCGTAGTGCCATGTATAAAATTATGACTTGAAACAGACATATCCCCGTCAAAAGTAGAATTTTGAGCCAAGTTACAAACATGTACTGCTCTTAATATAAAACTCACTGTAAAAATTTATTTAAAAAGGGGGGGGGGTTTTCCGACGCAATGTCGTCTGCTGCACTCGCATGTGGTCATGAATTCTAAACATTAGCTTATGAAAGCATGCAAATCGAAGCAAATCACCAGCCGAATTGTTCGAGGACAAAACGTCCCAAATTTTAACCACAAAAAAAATACTTGAAAAAAAACACCCTTCCACTCCATAGAAACAATTACATTTTCCACATGTTGATTGTGTATTTATTTGAAGTCGTTCGACGCTCGAATGGTTGCTATTGCAATTTGTTCTAGGTCTAAACCAGACTAAAGTAAAACAAATACGGTGAAGTTATGGTGACATTATCGCATGTCAAGTGATGTCTCATTGAATGTGCTTTTAAAGCTTTTTGTCACTGACGCAACATTGACGTTGCATTTTAACAGTGTGCTATCTTCAGAAATACACATCTGATCGCTCTGAAACATGTATGTCTTGTCAGTCTATACCATGACATAAACATGCAATAACAAAATGCCGAGACAACCATGTGTTTGTCCACACACATAAATCTAGTTATTTCAGCTGTTGGTACACGTTATTGACATAATTCTAGCCTTTGGTGGGTGTTCACCACTTGTTCACATTTGATGTGTCAATTTGTCTGATGTGTATTAGGTATGTGATGACTGCGTAATCATACGTAGTGGAAGTGGTGCTGTTTGTGATCGCTGCTGGTATGAGAGACTCATCAACATGACTTACTGCCCTAAAACAAAAGTCTTGTGTCTCTCACGAAGACTTACTAGCACAACTCGTCTGGACAAGTATTACACTAAAAAGGTATTTATTCATAAATATATAAAAGGAAACAAATAATTGAATTCATTCCTCGGTGATCTTAACAGTTCATCAGAAAATTAAAATGCTTTGTCTTATATACATGAGTATAAAGGAATTTGTTTAAACAGAGGCATCTTCGCATGGAGAGCTTGTCTTCTCCAATCTGCTGAATTCACGACACTAAAACCATGAATTCAGCAGATTGAGGGTTTATGAGGTTTGGGATCGTTTTTGAGTTCTCATACTTATCCATGGTCTCTCCACCTTTATTCATTTGACTCATTTGTAATTCTTTGGGAGTCATTGTGGATCTGTACTTTATCTGTTAATGGCAACAAACACACCCTCCTAAGTCTCAATTCCATATTCACAACATTAAAAATCCCACCTTTTCCTCACTTTCTATCACATTTTATTACTTTCCTATGCTTATTACTGTTTTTCTTATCTTGGTTTTAGTGTCGTGAGTTGTACTTTTGCATCAAGGAAAGCATGGAAAAAGCTGCTACTCGTCAAAAAAACGGCATCTCTGGAGGTAAGTCATCAAAGAGGACATGTGATCTCTTGATTGTTTTGTACTTATCAAATCAAAAACCTTTAAAAAAATAAAATTTGTTTCAATCAAAGGATTCAAAACTGCCAAAAATACGCACAAAATTCTATGCAGTTGATACCGACCCAGCAGCATGATATTCGCCACTTCCGCCAATCCCTCGTGCCACACCGAATATTTGGTGTCTTTGTCTTCAAAACAAATGTGGTTATTTACCCGGCGATACCCTGTTATTTAACCGGCAGTTTTCGTTGTCTCACAGCAGTGTTGCTGTACTGAATGAGTGAGACTTTACACAGGGTGAGTGTCGCACGAGTCGCAAGCCAGTCACCCTTTACCTACGCTACCAGTTACCGTCCAGTCAGCGTGATATTTCGCTATTCGCAAATCCCTCACGCTGCACTGAATGCTCAATTCTTTTGCCTTCAACATAAATGCCACTATACATGTATAACCAGCGATTTGCTATTATTTAACTCGCAGCTTTCGTTGTCTCACAGCTGTGCTGCTGTGCCAAACAACTGAGACATTGCATGGGGCGCACGTCGCACTAGTTGCAAGCCGCTCACCCCTTACCTACACTACTAAGTTACCGACCCATCAGCATGATATTTTGCTACTTAGCAAATCACCTTCAAAACAAACTCCGTTAGTTTTCCAGAAGTTTCGTTTCCTCATAGTGGTATATTTGTCAATACGTGAGACTTCCCATTGACGGAAAGTTGTTAACTGCTGCACCACAACTTACTGACCATTCTGCGTGATATTTCGATGTTAGCAAATCCCTCATGCTGCACCGATTCTTTGGTGCTTTTGCCTTAAAAACGAACACCGTTATTTTTACCGGCAGTTTCGTTATCTCACAGCGGTGAATTGACCAACGTCCAAGACTTCACATATTTGACTGCAAGTTGTTAACTCTGACGACACAACTTACTTACTGTCAGTGTGATATTTCGCTGTTAGCAAATACCTTATGCTCCACCAGTTATTCTATACTTTCACCTTCAACAGTTTAATAGGGTGATATTTTGCTGCTAGCAAATCCCAAAGTAGTCTTCTGGCCGCTTCAAGATTGTACCAGCCGCCACACTATCGTTCCGGATGTCCCGACCACTCCAGTTGCCGTCCGGTTTTTACCCATCACTTGATACGGGTTTTTCCCCGTGCTGAAATTGTCATCCACTGCTTTACCAGCGAGACCTCTTTGCCGGCCTTTTTAGACTTCTAAGGAGAAGATTACTTTTACAACGGTTTGTCCAAAACTGTCTTCCCCGTTGTCCACAGCCGTCAAGCAGTGGTTTTCATTCCACCGCTCGACACCCTGCAAATCCACGGGCCACCTTCTGTCCTTCAGCCTCTACCGCCACTTTTCAGCCACGGGTCCGCTGGCGGAAGTGAATATGCATGCAGACATCGCCCCCCCCCCCCCCCCCAACGGGACCGGGGCAGGGGCGGATCCAGGAATTTGTGCAGGGCGGGGGTTCATTTGCAAATCAATGCTAAAATGTAGACAGGTTTTTACAGACACTTGGCTCCGCAAAATCAATGGGGCCCTCCTACCATACTTTTAATGGGGGCGCTGTTCCAATCCGACGATTATTAACACTATATTACAGAATAGTGTATCAAAACCCCCTAACCAAGCTGGCTCTGTACGTATTCCATATTTTGTACACAGGCAGACATTATTACCAGTAGAATTGTTGGTGGGGGGGGGGGTGTTTCGCATTATTAGCTTTTTCGCAAATTTGCGAAAAAGCATTTGTTTTTGTTCTGATTTTTTTTTTATTCTTCTTCTTCTTCTTCTTCTTCTTCTTCCACACAAAATCCCATAGACTTTGTGTACAATTTTCTGTCCGGCACTTTTGCCATTTATCTTTGTCACACATTCAAAGTTACCACAGGCATTGTCCCTATATAGCAAAGTTGTGTCCCGAAGAGTGACGTCATGGTGATGTCATCATGGGTCACGTGACGTCATCTGAAATGTGCATATTTTAATGTCTTGTATCTACAGAACTGTAAGTCCGATTTGGTTGAAACTCGGTATGTAGGTAGACCGGGATGTGTTATAGGTAAAAATTGAAATGACGTCATGATGACGTCATCGTGTGATTTTATTTGATTTTTTTTAATTTTTTGACCTTTAAGCCATATCTCTTGAACACAGCATGCAAAATTCGCGCCTGATGTGAGAACCCGTTTGACTCATTTCGAACGGGTACTGGGATTTACAGTAAACAATTGTTGAATAAATTTAGCTGTTAATGGTTTTCTTTGTTATGTGAAATGTAGAGAGAATTAGAGATGAAGAGATCACATCTTTTGTAAACTTTTTGATGTAGGCCCACACTGGGTGCGGTCTGCCAAACGACAACATTTCCTGCTGTTTGTGCTTGTAATAAAATGTCTTAGGCCTTGCAAGGCCAGGAAAAACATTAAACACCGTTTCAGCCAACCAGACATGCCAGAGAAGCCAGATACTTTCAAGGACTGATTTGTTGATATGTCCAGCAACAACTCCGTACCGGACCAGAGCTGTCATTGTGATGTAAATTAGACATCTTATGGCTTAAATGTCAACACTGAGATCATAGTATTTTCTTAGAATTTTATTTTTCTGTGACTTTTCTGAAACCAAGCCCTTTCGTCCCCCTTTTTCTTCTTATGACAAGGACTCCTCCATTGTGCATGGTCTCGCATTTTTTTCTGTTTCATTAATTTGCCAATGGACAAGAAGATGGACAATCAAATATGCCACCCTCTAAATGAGGAGATATGGAATAAATGGGTCGGGCGGATTAAGAGGCCGGATTATATAAGAACTTATAATAGACTACAACTGACACAGGGGAAGTTTACATATTGAACTGAACATTTCTAAGCTGAGCTTGATCGCCTGAGAATTAATCCTCTAGATGAAGTGGGACCACGCCAGCAGCAGGGCGCGATATTAGATGAATTGAGGAAAGCCATTTTTGTAAGAGAGCAGTGGCCCAATATATGATTTTATCTGTTTTCACAAATTTAATGTCTCAAGGATTAAAGGTTTTCTCCTAGAATGCACAAATACTGGCTGCCCCACTTAAGAGTACCATTTTCGGATTTCCACGGTAAAATACAACAGGAAAAATTAGTAAGATTAATCATAACATTTTGCAAATAAATGGCCTTATCACAGGGAATATAACTTAAAAAAATTATAACAAAATAATCACCTTGAAAATTTGCCTTTGTAAACTGGTTTAATCTTTATTTAACATAGTAAATCCAAAATTAACAACAACAAAAAGTATGTTTGGCTTCCGTGCCGGTACGGTGAGAGGCGACGGAAAGGGTAATAAACATTAATGCAAAAATTGTGACAAGAGGGTGCCATTGATAAATAGCGCCCTCTTTGAAATTTAGCTCTGGTTTTTGACAATTTCGGTGAGTTACGTTTTTAGATAATTGCCAGCCTAGTTTTCTGTACCCAGAGATGGTATTTAAACATGCTTGATGTATTTTATAGGACATTTGACCATTTACTGTCCTGGAATATACTGATGTCTGGGTCACATATGGTTTTAAACCACTGTGCCCTAGTTGGACACACACGCCTGCCAGATTCGGGGTCTTCACCAGAATTGTGAGAACAGTGAACCTCACGGACTTAGTCCGGTGTGCCACCTGTTTATGCGCCCGCTTCAATTCTATTTTCTGGTCCCCTTCTGTACACAGTTCCATCCTGTTTCTCACATGATATCGTGTCACAGAATACCTGGCCACATCCCAGTGGCGAATC